TTGTTTGTCCTGATCTAGCATCTTGTTTACAGTCACCCTCTCACAGATGTGCCATTGCCTCCCTCTGTCTTTTCTACAAATACTTTTACGGTAAATACTCCGACGAGCTACTTTCGCTAGTTTCAAAACTGCATGAATTTAAATGTGCCACCTGAACGTTCTCAAATTTAAAAGCCTTGATAAACCAATGACATTGTTCGCTTTTGCTTTTTATTTAAACACGTGCAACAAAACAAACCCAACATTATATTCTCAGAGGACGAAACGCGTCGGCTCAGAAAAGTTTTTCCTCTTGTTTCTTTTTATTCATTTTGTTTCTTTACTGATACACTCTACCTGAAAATAATTTACATATATCTATATGCAAGCAAATATATGGATATAGATCCGACGTTGACATATTAACATTAAAACAGCATAATCGTATATTAGGATTTTTGTTTGTTTTTTCCCTATATTTTTCTTCATATATCTATATGTAGGAATATTCCTTATATAACTATAATATTGGTTGAAAATTTTCCTTATATATGAAGGAAAAGTTCTTAATATTGTGGCAAGAAGCTTTGCAGACGAAATGCATATGAACTGCTCGTTTCGATCTTGGCAGGCCACGCTGGAAACATTGGAGGGTGGTAGCAACGTAAATATGAATCTATTCAAATGTGGAACTATCGAATCGACCAGTCCAGAAAAATGGATGCCAGACGGTAGTGGCGAGGAACACTAAAGATAATTGTGCACCAAACCGGTGAGGCGAAAGAAGGGTAAAAAGCGATGCTAGGTGAAACCGACTGCGACGTAGATCACTCTGGTAGTAGCAATTATTGGAACGAGAACTTCAAAAAAAAATTACGCGCAGCCTTGGTTTTCGTTTGTATATATACAGGTGTAACAGCAAAATTGTCCAAATCGCGTAACAGCAAAAAGTCTAGTTAGGGTAGGGGTTTCTTTCCAACGATATTCTGACATATAAACGCATGTCGATCTAGTTTTTTTTTATCATGACCAAAAGTTTTCGGCATTATATTCGATTAAATTTGACCATTGCATACATCTTACTGATTCTTATAATTTTAAATATAAATATATATATATATATATATATATATATAGTCCAATATACTAAATTTTAACCATGGAATATTAGTGTTTGAGACTTTTATATTATATTATATATATATATATATATATATATATATATATATATATATATATATATAGTGTTTAAGTCTTTTTATTATATCCTTACTCTGTCCTAGACATTGAGTTCTACCTGGATCCTTCCTCTGAAAAAATTTTTTTCTGAAAATATACATGTATGGGAATTTTTAGATATATTTTTCATATGTATGTATATTTTCCACTAATATTATCTATATATATATATATATATATACATAGATATACATATATATATATATATATATACAGATATAGTCTAAATTTTAACCATGGAATATTTCTGATTTGAGATCTTTTATATATATAAGTTTATATATGTATATCCTATACATGACCATATCATATATATATATATTTATATATACATAGATGATATGAAATTTGTAATATGACCAATAGTGTTTGATAGACTTTTATATTATATATATATATATATATGATATATACAAACAGATATATATATATATATATATATATATATATTTATTCAATGTACTAAAATTTTAATCATGGAATATTAGTGTTTGAGACTTTTTTATATATATATATATATATATATATATATATATATATATATATATAATATATAATATATATACACAGATATATATATATATATATATATATATATATATATATATATATATATATATATATATATATCAATAAAGAATAAATTTTATTCCATTGGATTTTTCATTTTATTTATATATAAATATATGTATATATATATAAATTGAGAATTTTATATATATATATATATATTCCAATACACTAAATATATATATATATATATATATATATATATATATATATATATAAATATATTTAAATATATATATATATATTAAGGCATTAAAAACTAGAAATGTTGTATTGCAGGCCATGATAAGTTTAAAATAAAACACACACAGTCGACCGGTTTCGTCCCCTCTCGTCAGAACTGTTAACGGGGAATTTAGATTATGAGAAAAAAAAAAAAAAAAAGTCTGTCATGGGTGACATGAATGAATGGACAGGGGAAGGAAAAAAAGATAAATTATACCAACCAAGCTGCTAGAAGCGCAGAACAGCAAGTCCAAGCAAACAATCTCTTTGTTTGCAAAGAGAAGGCTGCTTGGACCTGATGTAAAGCGATTCCAACACCTTGAGATGGAAAAGTGAGTGCGAACTGGCCAAGACGGAAAACCAGTTCACACTGAAATCCATCGCACAAGTTGGATTCTTTATAAAATGATCCGCAATGGAAGACCCATAAGTGTTACGAATGGTATCGCCCAAAAAAAAATTTTTTGTTTAGTATTATCGCAGGTACGTGTTGTTTAATTCTCACGTCCAACCGCTGTGTCGTTCTACCTATGTAGTCGCATCCACAACTACATTTGAAATAGTAAATAACAGAGTTAATATGGTGGGGGGTAGAACATCTTTACACATAGATGGAAGTACAGACCTAGTTTGAAAAACAACACGAACGTTCGCTGCAAAATAACACTCACGTGAACTACATGAAATACGCTTGGCGAAGGATTCACTAATCCTACCCAACCACGGTAAACGAAGATAGACCGGACATTTACCAACTGAAGCAGGTTTGATTTTGTTGAACCTAGCGGTCTCATCTCGAATAACCGATTGAACAATGTTCAACGGATAACCATTGTTCACAAAGATCTCAGTTAAACAACTGATTTCATGTTTCAAGGTGTCATCCGAACAGATCATTAACGCCCTATGTGTCAGGGTCCTAATCAAATTAATCTTTTGTTGTTTAGGACAAAAGGAGTCCCAACGGGTATATAGTCCTGTAAAAGTAGACTTCCTGTACACAGAGGTAATAAACAAGGAAGGAGTTCTTTGAACAAGAACATCTAAAAAGGGCAATGAACCATTGACCTCCTTATCTACTGTAAATTTAAGGGCAGGATGAACACCATTGAGTAGGGAAAAAAATTGATCCACTTCCGATTCATGGCTGAACACACAAAAAGTGTCATCAACATACCGAAAGTAAACCTTGGGTCGGGCAGAACTTAACAAAAAAGGCTTTCTTCATAAAAACCCACAAAAATATTTGCCAAAACAGGACCCAAAGGGGAACCCATCGCTACACCATCGATCTGACGATACATGATATTGTCGAAACTGAAATCGACAAACATAGTGGCAAATTTCATGAGTTCAACGAACACTTCTTCAGGTATATTCGGAGGAGTCAAATCACTGCGATATAACATATCGCTGCAAATATCAATAGTCTCCGATAAAGGAACACAAGTGAAGAGGCTACAGATGTCAAAGGAACACATAAATCCATCAGTGGCATCACAATTCGAATGAATTTGGAAAAAAAAAATGAATCTTTAATACAAAAGGAACTGTAATGCTGCAACACTGGTTGCAACATTATAGCAAGCCACTTTGCGACTTTATGCTGTGAAGACCCAATCATCGATAATATGGGTCTCAACGGGACACCCTCCTTATGAATCTTAGGTAATCCATATAGACGGGGACGAATAGAACCAGACGGTCTCAATTCCTCCGCCATTTTAGAGGAAAGAACACCACTTTTTTACCCATTTGTCAAGACGTTCTTGAAATCGAATTTCAGAAGTCAATGTAGAATCATGAGTGTCAATGGAGTGTTATTTTGCAGCGAACGTTCGTGTTGTTTTTCAAACTAGGTCTGTACTTCCATCTATGTGTAAAGATGTTCTACCCCCCCACCATATTAACTCTGTTATTTACTATTTCAAATGTAGTTGTGGATGCGACTACATAGGTAGAACGACACAGCGGTTGGACGTGAGAATTAAACAACACGTACCTGCGATAATACTAAACAAAAAATTTTCTTTGGGCGATACCATTCGTAACACTTATGGGTCTTCCATTGCGGATCATTTTATAAAGAATCCAACTTGTGCGATGGATTTCAGTGTGAACTGGTTTTCCGTCTTGGCCAGTTCGCACTCACTTTTCCATCTCAAGGTGTTGGAATCGCTTTACATCAGGTCCAAGCAGCCTTCTCTTTGCAAACAAAGAGATTGTTTGCTTGGACTTGCTGTTCTGCGCTTCTAGCAGCTTGGTTGGTATAATTTTTATTTTTTTTCCTTCCTTCCCTGTCCATTCATTCATGTCACCCATGACAGACCTTTTTTCTTTTTTCCTCATAATCTAAATTCCCCGTTAACAGTTCTGACGAGAGGGGACGAAACCGGTCGACTGTGTGTGTTTTATTTTAAACTTATCATGGCCTGCAATACAACATTTCTAGTTTTTAATGCCTTAATACGCTTTTGTACCGTTTCTAACCTATTTAAATATATATATATATACATATATATATATATATATACACATATATATATATATATATATATATATATATATATATATATATATATATATTCCAATGTAAAAAATTAAATAAAATGGAATATTAGTGTTTGAGACTTTTTATTATATATATATATATATATGTATATACATATACATACACAGATATACATACATATATATATATATATATATATATATATATGTATATCTGTGTATATATATGTGTGTGTATGAAATTGAGTATTTGGACAGCATTTTCTATTTTATACATGTTTCATTAAATTTATTAGGATTATATAGCTGAGATCGTTCTGATCTATAGAACATTTCTAACAGTTTTTTTACATGAAAAAAATGAAATAAAAACCTGAACCGCAGTACCGTGTATATCGTCTTTAATGAAAAAATTGAGAGCGCATATTTAAATATACTGTTTAATACAAGAAACTCAACGTCTACTCAAATACGAGTATCCACGAAAAATAACGTTTAAACAAACTATCTATCTATCTATCTATCTATTTCTGTCTGTACACAATCTATCTATCTATCTATCTATCTATCTATCTATCTATCTATCTCAATCAGTTAATATCTATCTATCTATCTATCTATCTATTTCTGTCTGTACACAATCTATCTATCTATCTATCTATCTATCTATCTAAAACTGATAATATCTATCTATCTATCTATTCTATATATATCTATATATATATATATATATATATATATATATATCTAAAACTGATAATATATATATATATATATATATATATATATATATATCCTAGTCTGTTCATGTCTCTCAATCCCTATCTATCTATCTATCTATCTATCTATCTATCTATCTATCTGTCTATCTCAATCAGTTAATATCTATCTATCTATCTATCTATCTATCTATTTCTGTCTGTACACAATCTATCTATCTATCTATCTATCTATCTATCTAAAACTGATAATATTTATCTATCTATCTATTTACCTACATCTATCAATGTTTAATATCTATCTATCTATCTATCTATCTATCTCTGTCTGTACACAATTCTATCTATCTATCTATCTATCTATCTATCTATATAAAAACTGATAATACCTATCTATCTATCTATCTATCTATCTATCTATCTATTTCTGTCTGTACACAATCTATTATATATCTATCTATCTATCTAAAACTGATAATATCTATCTATCTATCTATCTATCTATCTATCTATCTAATCCTGTTCATATGAATCTCTCACCTTCTGTTCAATTCTTGCTCTTTCTCTCCCTCTCCCTCCCTTTCTCTCTCTATTCCCTGTAGTTATGTTCGATTCGTAATGGTTTTTATCACTGATCGATCGTCAATTGTTACTCTCGTCACGGAACCGAAATAGCTGACTGCTTCAGTGACCAAGAAAAAACACTCTTTTTCTAATGTCGGGAATCAACAAAAAAACCCAAAATACAATGTTAATCACGTTTTGACCCCAACATTCTTTCATATTCCCTTTTTTCCTTCATTTGCACCCACGACACACACACACACACGTGTCAATAAATATGCAACCTAATGAACAAAAAAGAAAAAAAAGAAAGAAAAAAGAAATCTATAGTTTCCACAGAAAATATTTATTATTCAACATTTTTTTTATCTTTGAGAATGCATGCAATTCATTGATAAATATTGATCATGTAGCGCGAAAAGTAAAATTAAGCTAATAACTTATTGTCAGGCTCGCAAACCTATTGATCGACGATTGAATATTTATTTCCTGGCCATGTTCAGAAATTAAATAAACCTTCCTATTTCTCCTATATCTATCTCTCTCAGTCCTACTCACACACACACACACACACACACACACACACACACACACACACACACACACACATATATATATAAAAGTGAACATTGAAGTCAACACTTAGATGTGACAGTCTATTTCATGCTAGACGCAATCGTCAGGCCTGACGATTGCGTCTAGCATGAAACACACGGGCGCCTCGAAGTGCTGACATCAATGTTCCTTTTATATTTACACACGCTCTATCTCTGATATTGATCACTTCATCCCATAAATATATATATATTTCTTATATATATATATATATATATATATATATATATATATAAATATATTATAGTAAAAAAAGGAAAACACGAATATATGCAATCCGGTGTTCTTATTGATATTTTCGTTTTTACAAAAAAAGTGCTTAATGTAAATTTACAGAGCATAAATATTATAAATAAACTGATTTAAAAGTATGGTTTCATCGCTACTCAGGAATTACCATGTTTCAAAAACAGAAAACAAAAACTTCAAATTCAATTATATTAAATTACAAGCATTAGTTCTGTTTCAGCTTCAAGCGAATTTTGGAATAGTTTATTTTAAAATTTACACTAGTTTAAAAGCATGAAGCATGGTAATTCCTGTGTAGCGTTGAAACCATATTTTTAAATCATTTAATTTATATATATATATATATATATATATATATATATATATATATATATATATCATCTAAAAAATGGTAGATAATGGCTAATCGATTAACCAAAATACTCGGATCCATAAAATTTTGAACAGATTTTATACACATTATATCCAGAAAAGTGAATACTTACGCGAATGCAAGAGAAAAAATAATCAAAAAAAAGTTTTATTTCTGTTCAGTCAGTCGTTTTCAATAAAAGTTTTCTGACCGAATATGCAATATATATATTATGAAATTGATAAAGTCCGACAATTATTTTAAGACATTTTTATACATTCTTTTTATAGATACAAGTAAATTTAAGTAAATGCTCTGTTTTTTTATAATAGACAACATTTTCCGGCATGAATGTCCGAGAAGTTTTCACAGAAAATATTCGTCCTCCGACAGGATTCGAACCTGTATCCTATACGGAACCGTCATTTAGTTTGACGTGCCTTCGGTTTACAAGGTCGAATTTACTGTATTGAATCTTCTATGAATCTCTCATTCATATCTGCTCATGGCGCATCAAATGTAAAAAAAATGACGTCACACATTATGAAATGGACAAAGTCCGACAATTATTTTAAGACATTTTTTTTATGCTTATGCATTCTTTTTGTAGGATACAGGTTCGAATTCTGTCGGAGGACGAATATTTTCTGTGAAAATTTCTCGGACATTCAGGCCGGTAAATGTTGTTAAATACTTTTTATTATAAAAAACAGAACATTTACTTAAATATTTGTACCTTGTAATATATATAAACGTAAATATGTTTTTACACACATACACACACACACGCACACACACATATATATATATATATATATATATATAATATGAAAGAGTGTACTATTCGATGGAACGTGTTGCTTTATTCTGAGATCCAACTTTTGAGTCAATCTTCCTATGTAGTTTGAACCACAACAGCACCTAAAAGAATAAATTAAAGAACTATTATGATGTGGAGGGAGAACGTCCTTATGCATGGACGAGAGGACAGGCTTGGCAGAGAAATCCACACGGGTGTTAGAATTGTCGAACTGCTACAGAAACCTGCTTAGCATATCTATCACTGATATTACCCATCCAAGAAAGGTGCAAGTACACAGGACATCTTTGTACTATAGCAGGTTTGACTCTATTGAATTAAGCAATTTTGTTCTTAATTATTGACTGAACAATGCCAACGGATAGGCATTGTTACAGCGAGTTGTGATAATAAACTTAAGTTCATCATCCAACTTAATCTTAGAAGAAATCATTAGAGCCCTATGGGTAAGTGTTTTAATAAGATTAAATTCGCGCTAGCAAGTGCTTCCCAACAGTTTCATCTAACTAATTTTAATGTCAAGACTTCTTCAGGAAATTCCTAATAGTGTCAAATCGACTGTGGCGTGTTTCGATCCCGTGTCTCATCGGCAGAATGTTAACGCTATTACCACTCGTCCACGTAGACATACAAGTTTTATAGTAGACATTAGCAAGGGTTGGTTGATCGTTAGATGAACCAACCTAAACGCACAGGGACAGTAATACGTCTGGCATGCCGTCAAAATGTCGCGATGTTTTTTTAATGTCATTTCACGCTACATTAAACACAAATGATTACAGAAAACGTAGAAGAACAGGACTAAAAAAACTAGGCTCTAGTTAAAGATAGATAGATAGATAGATAGATAGATAGAGAGAGAGAGAGGGGTGGACGGAGGGACGGAGAGAGTGTATCAATCAGGTAAATGATTTACTGCAATCATATTTCGGCACGGGCTGCCCAGTCCTCCCTTCCAAGTTTGATTGAGTCCAAAAGCTTCTTTGTGGGTGATAAATTATTTTCAACCCTACAACATCTTTCTCACAGACGAAAAACCGCTAGCCTCTCGCTGTTCTATTGCTATTTCCATGGAAAGTGCTCTGACGAGCTACATTCCTTAGTGCCACCAGTTCAGGCCTTCACAGCTGAGCCTGTCGCTACACTATCGCTATTTCCGTGGAAAGTGCTCTGACGAGCTACATTCCTTATTTCCACTAGTTCAGGCCTTCACAGCTAAACCTGTCGCTATAGTATCACTATTTCCATGAAAATTGCTCAGACGAACTAGATTCCTTATTTCCACCAGTTCCAACCTTCATGGTTAAGGCCCACTATACTAGGGGCGTCGTAGCGTACCACCTTCATTCCCTTCGTATTCCATTGGTAAGACGTAGAGCCTCACGAATAGTTTCTTCCAACCACTGCTCTTTGGAACCGATTCTGAGGAGGGTGTTTCTCGATCTGCACAATCTTAACGTGTTCAGGACAAGGATTAAACCGTTATCTTCATCACATATCCTCCTAAACTGTGTCTCTTACTCTGTAACTCTCTACCTCAAGTGGCTCCCGGGCCTTGTGCAGGTGGAAAATCACTATAAAAAAATGTACGGCAAAAATTATTTGAATATAACTAATGCCTTGGACAATAATCATTACGAAAAAAAAAAAAGAAATGAGAATTAATAAAAAATTATATCTATATGGCTATTTTTTTTTAGATACAGTGGAACCTCGGTTCACGAAATTCATTTATCCCTGAAGCCCGCTCGTAACCCGAAACTTTCGTAAACTGAAACTATTTTTCCAATAGGAATCAATATAAAGTAGATTAATCCGTTCCTGGTCACAAGATGATTGCTTATTTAAACTTTAACAACAGTACTTTGTGCACAAGTTTATACACAAAACTGATGAAAATCATTAAATCTAAGGAAAAAAAATACTAAACAAACCCTTTAATTTTACCGTACCTGTAAATAGGAGAGTTGATGGCGTAAGTGGAAGGGGAAGGAAAGAGATGTTATTGTTTGGAAAAGGGGAAGGAAAGACATGATCGTCTCTTTATTTATAAGAATTGTATAGATCGTTGATTTTGACATATGAAACTGAGTAGAAAGAGACAATATCATCAACAATTGTTTTTCTCTTAACTTTTCTTTTTCCTTTACCAGTATCACTGCTAGCTTTCTTTGGAGCCATGACTGAGGACAAATGAAGAGAAAAATAAAGTAAGGTACAATAAAATTGTATAAAATATTGTTTTTATTGTTTTATTGCCGAATTCAACCATTTTCTTTTGATTTCTTGATACAGTTGTGTATGTTTGCTTGGAAGAGAACAAAAGAAAATGGCTGAATTAGTAAAAAAATAACAAAACAAAACAATAAAAGCAATATTTCCACACGTGACAGTACTTGACGTAATTTTCTGTGGAGAATATGAATATAATAGCTTTTTCTAAATTCTTCCAGTTGCTAAGGACATTTTGTTTTCAATAAATTCATTTCGCTTTTGCCTTGAAAAAGTCCACATTGGACGAAACGCGTTGGCCAATAATATAGTTTTACTATTGTCTTTTACCTTTATAAATACTGTATTTTTCTACGAGTTAATTCTGATAAATTATACACACACACAGACACACAGACACACACACACACACACACACACATATATATATATATATATATATATATATATATATATATAGTACAGGCAATCGATCCGTTGGTATATAATCTGGGTGTATTCTAGTGATAATGATTATTAAAACTGACCCACAGTGATTTCGATGTTTTATT